GTAGTTTATAAAGTACGGAAACAACAAATGACTCGTCGACATTCCCGCCACTAAGCGATGGAAAAGGCGGCGCATACTAGAAAGGTGCAGTAGGTTCAGGCACCGACGAGCGGTGAGCGTAGAAAGGTCCCGGATGTAAGCGGCGGCGCTGCGGTGTATACGGGCTCCAGGGTCCGACCGGTTTCGAGCGTTCCGAAGGTGGGCAGCTTTGGCTTACGGTTATGCATTTTGGCGGTATGGCAGCCCGAAGTGGCTCCCGTCCTGAAGTGATATTTACCCCGTGTTTTCTGTCGTTTGTGGTCAATGAAGTGTCATGCCAAACTGGTGTTTAATCGTGCAGCAAATGCAATGCGAGCCGCCCTGGCTGCCCGCTTCATACAGCCTATCCAAGACATGCTTTAGTGTCGCGCTCTCGAGCTGTCAACACGAAGTGCGGCAGCCGTGAGCGCTCGCTGAGCTCACTACCCCTTCTCTAGTTCACGGCCACTCATGCGACCAACGACGTCATAAAGGAGGCTATTTTTTGCGTGTTTTTGTAATTTTAATTTGCCTATCACTTTTAAAATAAAACGAAATTCGAGAAAATAAAAGTTTGATTAAGTTACTACGTTTAGTGCGCTCAGGTTCGGTGCAAATTAAGAACCAGTAAAAAAGTACTTGCAGGGCCCCTTTAAGCTCCATCGCTTTCTACATGACCCCGATCTGCGGCGGCGGTTGGTTGCGTCCGTAAACCGAAAGTACGTTTCCCCAACGCCATACTCTCGTCTTTGCTCGGAACATTTTGTGAATGGAGCGCGCACCGCACTTAACGCCGTAATGTCGATGAGGATGGGGTACGCTCGCAAAATGCGTGAAAATCTTTTTTTTTTTTAGCAATTGCTGTCTCAGCTAACTTTTTGTAACTGAATTTATCTTAGTGTTGATATATTGAAGTCGTGATACTGACTCCAGTTTATGATCTACAACACTTAGTTGAAGACTCATTTACGCTGCGGGTGTGTCTGGAACTTGTCGAAAAGTTAGTTCTCTCGGTTTTCCTGAACAGCGATCTCCTGCGCTATAGCAGGGAGACGTGAACCTATGCTGACCATCACAACGCGACTAGATATTCTTCTTAGTTTCAAGATTAGTACGTAATGTAGCTGAAAAGAAACCTTAAATTTCTGTTACTGAATGTTGAAACATGATGATGCATCGATTTTTTATAAACGTTGAAACATCCTCGTGCATCGGGGTTTATAAACGTTCTTTTTGGGGATCCCGTGCCGACGAGTGTGTCTTTTGTCGAGAACTGAAAACAGGAAACTCGGGAAAGTCGAGATGGACCTATTGTCAGAGCGAATCGATCAATGATTCAGCGGTTCGAAATCGATGGATCGGCATGTTTTACAATTCAGCAACAGAAATGGAAGATTTTTTCCAGCTACATTATGTACTAATTTAAAAATTAAAAAAAAAAATAATAATAATTTAGTCGCGTTTTGACAGTCATCATAGGTTCACGGCTCTCCGGTATCCCGCGGGAGATGGCGATTCAGGGACACCGACAGAACTAACTTTTCGACAATTTCTAGCCACACCCGGCGGCGGAAATGAGCCTTCAACTAAGTGTTGCAGATGATAAACTTGAGTCAGTGTCACCACTCCAAAAATGTTAATAGTAAGATGAATACAGTTACAAAAAAGATGAAAGCTGAAAGACAATAACGTTTCAGCTTGTAACTTTCTGTAACTGTAACCGAGAAAACTTGCACGCACCTTCTGAGCGTACCCCATGTTCACCGGAGGTACAGCGTTCGGTGCGCGCTCCATTCACAAAATGTTCAGAGAACATTCGAGAGGATAGCGTTCAGGAAAAGTATTTTCGGTTTACGAACGCAACCCATTGCCACCGGAGACCGGGGTCGGAAAGCGATGGCGCTTAAAGACAGCCGCAATTGCCGAAAACAAGCGCCGAAAAAACTAGACAGGGACAGCAGGTGGACTTAAACAATGGCGCACTCGCAAGTACCATTTATGTGGTAGTCGTACCTTGTTTGGTTCTACGCCCCCTAGGTTAGCTTAGCAATTTGTGTTGGTATTGGCATTATACGAGTCCTAAAAAGGACTAGTTGTAGGTCTGACTCCTGGAGCTGTTTGTCCCCGGGTCTGTTCATCTTGCTCTTGTCTAGAGTCACACCGCGAGTCCCGTATTGCGGAGAAACTGTAGGAGCACCTTGGAAACCTTCCGGCACACTCTTTCTGCGCCTTGCGGAAACAACACCTCTTCTGTTGTTCTTTCGCTTCCGATGGCCGGCTTGCCATGCATTATTTCGCGGCTTCTGTCATATGCAGGACACTCTGTTATGACCTGCTGCAATATTTCAACAAATGGGCAGTTGTGGCACTCAGAGCTACGCAGTTTTTCCACCTTCTGCAGGTAGTTTGTGAAAGCCGTTCTCGTACGCAGGCGACGCATCACGGTAGTTTCTGTTCGTGTCAGTCCTGTAAGCGCCCCTTTTTCTATCGCCGCTTCATTTTCCCATTCCAGAAAATGCAATCATATACATTGTCCCCGAGTGCTGTTCTTGCTGCTATGGTGGCTGATCTACTTGTGCTACGTTCATTATCCTCAGCAGCGCCCCTCAGGAGTCTGCGATTACTACCATTCGCTGTGGCACTGTTACGTTTCCGGCGGTTCGACGACGGAACGGCTGCCGAAGGAACAGAAAGGCTCTCTCTGCTGCTGGAAGACGATGTGTCTTTATTATAAAAGCAAACTGGCTTTTAAGGATTCTGTATCCAATCAGGACCGGAAAAAAAAAGAAATACAACCCCGCGCCGCTCCTACTATACTTCGTTTCAGCTTCGGTCCGAGCGCGGCCGATGTTATGAGCCGAAGGGCCAATCAAACAGTGAAAGAGGCACAACGTCATGGCGTGCTGTCTGCAGTTGATAGGACCAGCCGGAATTCGCGTCTCTCTGTGCGTGCTCCTCCGCCGCCTAGTCTTATCAAGCGCAGAGAGCACGCTATGACGCCGCGCTTTTTGCGGTGTTTGATTGGCCCTTCGGCTCATAACATCGGCCGCGCTCGGATTGAAGCTGAAACGAAGTATAATCTTATCAGGAAGCCGAGAAAACGTATAGCGGAGCCCAGCACCGCGATTGTTACAGCTCGGTCAATGCTACCCAGTTCGGAGGCTGGTAAACAGGCTGACGCCTCTTGAGTAACTGAAGACGTAGAAGCTGTCGAAGCATCTAAAATGGCGAGAGCCGACTTGGGTGGTCGTTTCATTTCGACGTAGTCCGTGCTGCCTGGAGGAGTAGGAGAGAGGCATGTAGCACGCTGAAGGCCTTGGTCGACGACGACTTCATAGAAGTACGCTTGTGCGTCTTGGCAAGTGACCAGGCTAGAAGGACCCAGTCGCCAGGTCTTGGAAGGGTCGCTTGGGCTAGGGTGCTGAAGTGCGGACGCCGTTCTGTTCTCGGGCAAGAGGGTTGAAGCGCAAGACGCCGCTGTGTGTCCGAAGCTCCGGAGCGGCGGGACAAGGGGTTGAACGAAGAAGGCAGCCGTAAAGGACCCAGATATTCAGGCAGTCTGCAGCTCGGGCAGGATAGCAGCAAGCCGAAGAGCTGAAATGACTTGGTAGACGAGCGGCCGAAACGACATCGGAAGCAGTCCGGCGCCACGACTCAGCAAGGCCAGACCCCTTGAAATCATTAGGAGCGGAATAATGCAACGCACTTTCTCGACGAAGTTAAGTGCAGCCATAAGCCTTAACATCGCAAAAACGCCAATTAAAATTAGTAAAAACAAAATTTCTGTGGGGACTTTCTCGCTGAACTAGAGGAACACTAAGGAATGCGGCTCAGACAATCGGCATTAGCGTGATTTTTGCCCTTCTTGTGCCGCACCGTGAAAGTAAATTGTTGGAGTGCGAGGCTCCACCTCATTAAACAACCTTTTTGTTTGACATCAGATTAAGCCACACGAGGGGGCGGTGGTCAGTCTCGAAAATAAATGAAGATCCTTTGAGGTAGCACGAGAGTTTTTCGATAGCCCATACCATACAAGCACACACATTTTCTACTGTGCTCTGTGCTTGTTCGCCTGTTGTTAGTTTTCTGCTGGCGTATACAACAGGATGTTCCTTGACCTTCTCGTTTACCTGACTGAGGACAACGCCCAAACCACGGCTGCTCGCGTCGCACTGCACTATGAAGGTGCGCGTGTAGTCTGGTGAAGCCAGCACAAGATCGCTCGCTAAAAGCTCCTTGATCAGGAGAAAGGCGTTCTTATGTTCCTCGGTCCAGCGCACGACATTCGCCTCTGCCTTGCGAAGAGCATCTGTGCGTGGGCCAGCGATATGCGCAAAATTAGGAATGTAATTTCGGTAATAATCGGGCTAAACCGATGAAAAAATGCATGTCCGTCTTTGTTTTCGGCTAGGAAATTTTTTTTATGGCCATAACCTTTACTTCGGACGGGCGTCGCTTCCCTTGGCCCACAACGTGACCCAGATACTGAACGTCAGCCTTGGCGAGATGACATTTGGCCATTTTCAGAGTTAAACCTGCTTTCTGTATTCTAGCGAATACTTCCTGTAGGTGCTGCAAGTGGTGTTCCCAGGTACTGGAAAAAATAGCCACGTAATCGAGGTAGGGAACTGCGAAAGACTCGGCACCCTTGAGCACTTCGCTCATTAGCTTGGAAAAAACAAAGGGCGCGTTCTTAAGTTCAAAACAAAGGACAAGCGGGCGGAACGTTCCGAGAGAGGTAATAAAAGCTGCCAGCCTACTAGCGTTCTCCGTGAGATGCACTTGCCAGTAGCCCCGCACGAGGTCTAGAGTTGACACGTACCACGCCTCCGACACTTTTTCAAGGAGTGCCTCAACATTCAGGATGGGAAACACTTTTGTCTTGGTTACCGCGTCGAGTTTTCGGTAGTTTATGCATTGCCGCGGTTCTTTACGGGCGCTCTTGACAATGAACATCTGAGATGTGTAATCACTTTCTCCAGGCTCAATTATACCCACGTCCAGCATGTTTTGGACGGATTCATTCAACAGCTTTTCATGACGGTGTGAAATTCTGCGCACTCGTGTACGGAAAGGTTTGTCAGAGGTCTACTCGATGTCAAGCTATAACAGGTTCGTTTTACCTGGACGCGGGCTAAGCAAGGCCCTGTACGAGTCTAGCACCTCTTTTAATTCTTCCTTTTGCTGTGCATTCAACCGTGCACCTCCACTTGTCCCCGTTAATATCTCTTCTGTAGAAGGAAGCGAGCACGGGGATGGGAGTGGTGGGCTTGGTATGACAACTTCAGGTTCATTTAGAGCGATACTAATGACCTCGGTGCGTTCGAGAAAAGGCTTCATTTAATTACAGTAATAAATTATCGCCTCATTCCGTCTGCCAGGAGACGTCACGAAGTAGTTAGTGTATGAAATCGTTTGTTGCACCACCATGCTATTTCCAGCGTATTTGCCTTTGACGTCGAGAATCAGTACTTTGTCACCTTCTTTGAACGTTCGTTTCCGAGCGTTCCTGTCGTAGTACTTTTTCGCACGCTGCTGGGCTTGTTTCATGTTCAGCTCGACTAATTCCTGCGATTCGCGCAAGCGCTTCAACAGGGTGAGCACATACTCGACGACCGTTTTGTCGATGAATTTGTCTTCCCACTTGTCTTTCAATAAGGTTAACGGAGATCTCAGTGCGCGCCAGTAAACCAATTCTGCTGGAGTAAATCCAGTTGCCTCGTAGCTGACAGAGCGCAATGCGAAAAGCATTGCTGGAACAGCTGTGTCCCAATCCGTTTTCGTTTTGTAACAAAGCGCACGCAAAATGCGCTTCATTACCGAGTGAAATTTCACAGAATTGCTCTGCGGATGGTACACGGAGCTGTGGTGGATGGCTATGCCACATATCTCTAGGAAGGTTGTGGTCAGCGCAATGGTAAAGACGGAACCCTGATCACATTGGATTTCGCTTGGAAATCCGACTCTCGAAAAGACGCCGAGCAGCGAGTTAACGACTGCTGTAAAGCTTAGCTCTGGTAAAACGACTGCTTCCGGGAACTCTGCTGCAGGACAAAGTAGCTCCAGCAGGTACTTGTTTCCTGCTGCAGTTGGTGGTAACGGGCCAACAATGTCTACCACCAACCTACGGAATGGTTCACTAATTATGGGTACCTGAACCAAAGGTGCCTTGACCTTCTCATTTGGTCGACCCGTCCTTTGGCAAACATTGCATGAGCGTACCCAGTTCTCAGTGTCTTTGAAGCACATCGGCCAGTAGTAGGAGTTTAGCAATCTACTGTTGGTTTTGTTTATTCCTAAATGACCAGCACACCTTTCACTCTAAACCAATCCCAGTAGCGCTGTACGATACTTCTGGCTAACCGCGGCTAAAGTTAGCCGCAGTACCTAGCAGAGGAATTTTGAAATCACGTGACTCGCTCGGTAGGGATGCAGGAATACATGGCGGTGCCCCGGTGAGTGTGCGCCCCTCGCTTTGGAACTAATATGTCGTTGTAGCTGCAATATCGGGCGCGTTAGTCAGCAACGAATGGTACAGGAGGCATTCGCTTTGCCTTACCTAACTTAAATCGCAAAGCATGAGCAATGACCTCGCCGCATTTTTTTATATAGTCTTTCGATTCTGGCCATTCCTAAGCCTAAATCAACGCGATAATTGTCGGCATGGCAACGTCTTTGGAAAGTGGAATGCCTTGACTCAGGCCGGGTATTGATAACACATAAAAGCAGACAGCGTCCCAACAGACCTTTTCTGAATTTCCCAAGCACCGAGGCGCATGCTACGAGTGTAGTCACATAAGTTGCACGTGCTGGCGTCTGCAGTTGTAATTCTTCTAAAGAAAAACGTTCAAAACGAAATTTGCTTTGCACGCGCGTTCGTCAAAGCCTTAATATGTTTATTTACTTCAAATCTTTCAAAAGAAGAAGGCCAGCGCGCGGGGACGGTAGAATTACACTTCCAGCGTTCTCCTCGATGCTTGGGTACTTTAAAAAAAGGTCTATTGGGACGCTGTCTGCATTTGTGTGCTATCAATACCTGGCCGATTGAGTCAAGGCCATCCGCTTTCCAAAGACGTTGCCATGCCGACAATTATCGCGTTCATTTAGGCTTAGGAATGGGCGGAATCGGAAGACTATCTAAAAAATGAGGCGAGGTCATTGCTCATGCTTTGCGATTTAAGTGAGGTAAGGCAAAGCGAAAGCCTCCTGCGCCATTCGTCGCTGACTAACGCGGCCGATATTGCAGCTACAACCTATTAGTTCCAAAGCGAGCGGCGCTCACTCACCGGGGTGCCGCCATGTTTCCCCGCATCCCTACCGAGCCTGTCACGTGATTTCAAAATCCGTCTCCCAGACACTGCGGCTAACTTTAGCCGCTGTTAGCGCCTCAAGCAAACGGGCCCAGCTATTCGAAAGAACGGCCTTGCTTGTTCTTGAACAGTCGGCGCAAAATACCGTATTTCATAACAAAAGAAATTCTGCCTTTGCGTTTACATCCATTTTTTTCCCGGCACGATAGCACTGACGCATCTTCTGCCTGTTCGTTTCTTAGCATGTGTTGTCAACCTTCGCCAAAAGCTGAAAGTTTTCGCTGACAGGGCTTATCAGCTCTGGATTTGATTGAGAAGTTGCGGTCTCATCGTCGCGTTCTGGTTCAGACGCGGACGGAACGGCGCTGAATGTCTCGCTCGCCTCATTTACTTCCGATACCACGACAGCATCCGTCACGGTAGCTTCCTGCATTCGCTTCGTGTGCGCTTTTGTTATCACCATGACGGGCCTTACATCTAGCTCCATCCCTGCATTTTGTAATTCCCGCATTGACTTGTTGGAAAAAAATGTAAGGAATTTTCTGAGTGAGCTTATCGGAAACGGCTGCTTCCGTCTGGAACTTGCCGAAGGTGCCTTCCATCTCGACTTTCGCTACCGGCAAGCACTTTGTGTCTGGTTCGAGTGCCTGCCGAATCCATACACATGCACCTGTGAAATGTTCCGGCTGATCGAATGACGGGTGAGGAACATCGAAAGTTTCACCCGTGTCTCGCAACACTTTGCAGCTGCTCCGTTCACAGTCATATGATATGTGTAAGGCTGAAGAAAATCACTCTCTTCCGTTAGCAGATTAACAGACATACTTGCTTGCCGGCAGCCCACGGTGATATGTCCTGGCTGTTGGCACTTATAGCAAATTAACGGTCTTTTTCCTTCGAACTTGGAGCTTTTTACTTCCTCTTTCTTGCCGTTTGGGGCTGCTCTGCCTTCTCGGACGCGTTCGCCGAGCTCGTTTCCTTTGAGCCTTTTTGAAACTTTCTGAACGGTCCCGAACGTTTTTTTGCAGTTCCTCCGAGCTATCCTGCCAACGGGAGCAGTACTCTTCAGCTAGATTCAATTCAATTCAATTCAACTTTATTGACTCCAGTTTGGAGAAGGAGACAGGGAAAAAAGCTACATTGCGTAGCTTGACAAGTCCCTGCCTCCCATACAGACTTGGGCAAATTAGTCGGCACTTGCAAAAAAAAAAAATAAGAAAAGAAAACATACAGAACATTATACAGCTTTTGATATGCTGAACAGCACAGAACATTTAAAATATTATTTGTCGTTAAAATACAATTGTCTAATTTGGTTATTTGACATATTTTTTATGTGAATATTATTTTTTATGAGTTCATTAATGGTAGACGGTACAGTATACTGGAGCATTTGACATCTGTAATTGGTTCTGGGATGCGGCACTCTCCAGTGCTCTGGACTACGCGTATGATAAAACGAAGAGTTTTCTTCCAGCGAAGCTAAGGAAAGGAATGATTTGTTATTATAATAAATACTATCTTTATATTTCTTTATTAATGTCTGTGTATATAAGTCAAAAATACTTGTTACCTTAAATTTTGAGAATAAAATATCGGCATGACTACTATATGGTACATTGGCTACTAAACGTAAGATCTTTTTTGTGCGATATATAATCTGTCTAGGTTTAATTTTGTCGTATTGCCCCATACAAGTTGGCAGCACTTTAAATGTGAAGCAAACAATGTGTGATATAATATAATCGTGACCCTTTCTGGTAAACAAAAACGATGTCTATAAATAATACCTGTTATTTTTTATACTTTAGACATAACATGTTCTACGTGTTCGTTCCAACTCATGTATTGGTTAAAGAACACCCCCAGTATTTTTACCGTTGGAACAACTTGTATGGTTGATCTATCTAGCTTAAGTGGTATATCTATTTGCCCGACAGAACTTTTAGGGCGAAATAGAACGGCCTTTGTTTTATTGCTATTGATTTTTAACGAATTTGCCGTTGCCCACGAACTAAGCACATTGAGAAAACTATTCACTTCAGATGAAATAATATTTATGTCCGTTCCTTGAAAAAATATGCCCGTATTGTCCACATAAGTTATTATCTGGGCATTATGTGAAATATTTATGATGTCGTTAATGTATAGGTTGAATAAAATAGGTCCCAAAACACTTCCTTGTGGTACACCTGCCTGTAGTTGTTTTAGATCAGAGAAGTGGCCATTGAGGTGAATGCACTGAAAACGGACGCTCAAATGACTTCTTATTAACGCCGCCGCATTTCCACGAATGCCATAATTGTAACGTTTACTCATTAATGTGTCATGATTTAACCGATCGAAGGCTTTTGAAAAGTCTATAAAAATTCCTACCGTTAAAATTTTATTTTCAAAATTTTTCAGAATTATTTCTCTCATATTCAACAGCGCAAGTTCAGTCGATCGCCCTTTTCTGAATCCAAACTGAGAATCTGTAACAACTGAAAATTTTTCACAAAACTGGTTTAATCGAAAATGTATCAGTTTTTCTAAACCCTTTGAAAATATCGGAAGTACAGAAACCGGTCTACAATTTGATAAATCATTTTTATGTCCAGATTTGTAAAGTATCGACACTTTTGCTATTTGCATTTTTTTAGGAAAAATACCCTGTGATAACGATAGATTAAACAAATGAGTTAATATAGGTGCAATTTGCGCAATCACATATTTAACGGGCTTTATTTGAATGCCATC